AATAAATAATCAATAACGTAAAGCATTAAAGGCTTTCAGTTTGTAGAAATATTTCAAAGAAACAATAAATAACTCTTCAATGTTTTTCGACCAAAAGTGCACTAGATCTATAGTTTCAACCAGACGCTCAGCTGTCTCCGTAAGCTCCGACGAGCTCTGTGACATCACAAATAGTCTAATTGAAGACCTACAGGTACAGTGGAGTCGCCAATTCCGGGTCACTCGCGTGTATTTTATGCCTAGTGTTAAAATTTAAGCGCAAAAAACTTAATGAATACGCTGGTCATGAAGAACTGGCCTTTCTGTATGTAATTAATTACAAAATTTTGAATATCAGCTTTAAGAGAGCATCCGACAATCGAAATTCTGAACCGCACGCATTAAAGACTTGGATGTTTCTGCTTCGGTGACGGGCTACTTTCGTTTTTGTTCGCTGCAGAAAGACTGATATAGACTGACTTCGATCACTTACTCGAGTTAAATACGAAAGTAAAACAGCGCATGCGCCAATTGCTGGTTTGATCGAATCTACTTTCGTTTAACTGTAGTTGTAAATAATGGCTGTCAATGGCTGTATTTTTTATTTATTCTTGGAAACTTTTAATGATGAGAGTGAAATAGAGTGCGCACATGTCCATGGATGTACAGAAAGGAAGAAGAATGTTATATTTCAATATTCTTCAAAGCGAGACAGCGTTCCAAAAGTAGAAGGGTATGTTTTAAACGTGGTGGAGTTGATGGACGAACCGCAACATATAGATGACTTCAAAACACATTTTCGAGTATCTCGAGAGCTCTTTACGTCCATGTTAAATGAACTATCCAACACTCTCTATAGAAACGGCCACGGTCCACAGATGAATGTGCCCCCGGACAAGCAAATGTTAGTTGCCTTATGGTACATCGCAAACATATCATCCATGAGAGAGGTGGCACATGTTGTTGGACTTTCAATGTCGACAGTACATGGCATTGTTAAAGATGTTTGTGATGCACTTGTGGAGCTTGGTGACAGGGTAAGTAAAATAACCAAAAAAAGCTTCTTGTCTTCAGTAGTGAAAAGTTGTGATCGATGAACACTGATAAATTCAAATTGAAAAAAACAAATCATCACTCTATGGGACATTGTGAAAACTTAAATTAATTTAACATTTGAAAAAAAAAGCAATTGTGTAAGAGGTACAAGTACATTGTGAAAGTTTTTTAACAGGTGATACAGTGGCCATCCCCTGCATAACAACAGTGTAATGCAACAGAAATTCAGGATATGTGTTCACTTCCAGGTATAGTAGGTTTTATTGACGGGACACACATTCAACTTTCGAGTGCACTGCAAGGAGAGAAAGATTATTATAATAGGAAAGGGTTTCCTTCCATTCAGCTACAAGTAAAGTTAATGTGTTGGAGATATATCACTTTTGTTTACAATTTTGAAAACATACTTTGCTATATTAGTTCCATCTTAATTTATATCAGTTTTTATACTTATTCAGTTTTCATTATTGATATTTAGGTTGTTGTGGACCACAATTTGAAAATTTTGAACTGCTATACTGGTTGGCCTGGGTGTGTCCATGACGCACGAGTTCTCAGAAACTCTGGATTATTCCGCAGAGCGGAGGCAGGAGAACTAATTACTCCTAATTCCTACATAGTAGGTGACAATGCCTATCCACTTAGGAATTGGCTCATCACGCCATTAAAAAATATTGGACAACTGACAAGACAGCAAATTAAATTTAACAAGAGACTCTCCAGTGTTAGACAAAACGTGGAAAGGACATTTGGACATTTAAAAGGAAGATTCAGGCGATTACGTGATATACCTCTGCACAGTCACAGAGAAATCTGTACCCTTATTTATGCATCTTGTGTGTTGCATAACCTATGTGTCCAGTATAATGATGACATTGGTGGATTTATTGAGCAGGATATTGACAATCATCCTAATCAGTTTGAAAATGTCTATCAGAATGGTCATGCTGGGGTTGTCCGTAGACTCCAACTGGTAAATATTCCTTAACCAAATAAAAGATAATCAAATTTCAGTTTTTCTTTTCTTTTTTTTTAAATCAAATTTTGATTCTTAAAATATTGGATATTATAACTAGTACTAGTATTTAAAATTATATATGAAAATGAATTGAAATAAATGTCAAGTGATTTTATTACAATATAATACCCAACAGTTTCATTTTGGCATTGCAGCAGATACACTGCATTAACATTTGTTATAATTATTAAGTGTCTCAAAACACTACAGAACACAAGAATTTGTTTTTCAACCATTTTTTATATCAAACATTTATTTGTAACAAAAAACATATATTTTTATGTATAATAAAATAAAAAAAAACAAAAACATCAAATTTAACAACTGTAACAACTTCTGTCAAATCAAAACTCTATTTATGGCACTTTCAATTAAGTCTTGTCTGAGTATAAAAATACTTTATTTTTCATTTTTTTTCAATACTCTTCTCGAACAAATCCAGGAATCTGTCCATCCTTTTCATTTTTTCAGCATGGAATTTCTCAATTTTATCATTAAAATCTTTTTCTTTTGCATCAAGCTGTTCCAGCAATTCTTCAGTGCGTTTCCTCTTTTTTGCACATTTTTGCAACTTTTTTTTTGGACTCTTTGACTTGGTGACTGTTTTAGCATGGGAGGGAGTGGGACATTCAATGCAATCACTACTTGAACTGTCGATTGTGAAAGCAGGTTTTGTAGATTGTCTTGTTCCATACATAAGATCAAAGTCTTCTTTTAATCTAAAATACTTCCTCTCAGTACCAGTTCCAGAATCGATTATTTCTTTCCATCTTTTCTTAAGATTGTTGTATTTGTTTATGGCCTGTGTCGGTGTTATTTTTACTTTGAAAGCATTGGATAAGTCTCTTGAGATCTGAGTCCACAAACTCACATGATTTTTGTTTTTTTCGAACAAGTCTTGCCTGTCATGACGGAGGTGGACAAGCAAGTTTTCTTGCTTATCTGTCCATAAATGGAGACCTGCATTCAAAGATTCATCGCCTGAGGATGGGGACGCACTTGAAAGGGGAGGAGCTGTTGGTTGAAGAGGGCTGGTAGAAGATGAACATGGTACTGATGCTTTCAACTGTGACTTAGGATTGGGATTACCTGTGCTTGATGTTGCTGAAGGTGTTCCTTGGGTTGACTGTTGTAAAGTTTTTGACAAACCTAGTGATGCCTGGGGCTCAGGACGTTGCTGTTCAATCAGCATTTGGACGATCATGTCCTTTAATTGTGGGTCTAAGAAAGAATACATTATTCCTTATTAATATTTTTTCAATAAATAATCACAAATTATTAAGAAAATTTTGATTATATATATGTAATCAATTTGATTAAAATTTTATCCTTTGATCTGCCAGCATTAATACACATCTGTACACAGAAAGGGATTAAAAGACCCAATTTTTATTAGACCACAGGAGTTCGCGTACCTATCAATTTTACCGAAATTTTCAGTAAATAGAAAAAAATACATAATACCTAATAATAACACAAGGAGTGCAACGCATTTTAGGTCACCTGGGTACCCCTCGCTTAATATCAAGGCTGTCGCACAATTAATCTTCAATCAAAAATTATAAAACACAAACCAATCCTTTTGGAAGGGACCATTCTTTATGGCTCTTAGTGCATAAGATTTCAAACTCATGTTTTACAGCAGCAGCGTTGACATCTCTCCACAACTTCGCTCAAATACCCGTTGTCCGCGACGCCATGACGTGACGTCACGGGCGCGTCCATTTACCCAAAAAGGAACAAAACTGCCTGAAATGCTAATCTAGATAATTGAGGTCATATGCGAAAATAAACCAGAGACAAGTTAGTAGACATTCAAGAAAATTTAAAACGGGGAGGTACAAGTAATTGTACTCATATCTAAACGTAATATCGTTATCTGTAGTTAATTGTGTATGATTGTTGATTTTTTTTCTTTTGGGTAAATGGACCGTCCGTGACGTCACGTCATGGCGTCGCGGACAACCGTTGCACTCCTTGTGTTATTATAATAGGTATTACGTATTTTTTTTATTTACTGAAAATTTCGGTAAAATTGATAGGTACGCGAACTCCTGTAATTAGACTGATATGTGAATATCTGCTGACATAAACCATTTTGACGTAGACCCTTTACTTAGAAGATTACAAATAACAAAAGCAGTACTGATTCCTACCTGTATCCCCACTCAGAAGAGACTGCCTCGTTGCTTCATCACATTCAATATCAAGCTGAATACCGTTAGCTCCTTTAATTATTAATTTTGGCATTCTGAAGGAAAAAAATATTGAATATCAATGAATTTTATATAATTGTTATTATTATACTACCAGGTCTGGTACAATCACTAGATTTAGCTAGTACGTAGCTTGATTTACCTACATAGCTTTTTTTACCTACCTGAGGTAGCTTTATTAACCTACCAAATTGATCTATTACTATTAAAAATCATTTTTCTCAGGGTGTGCAGACAATATCATTTTGATGCAGTGATCATTTTCAACTTTGAACTCTTCTGAAAACAACTCATGAAAAAATCCCTCTTGGAAAAATTTCTTTTTCTGCGCAATTGCAATCAAAGTTCTGAAAGTTTTGGGGCTATGTATGACAGTTAGAACAGTTACTCCTTGAATGAAATGACAAAGAAGTCCAGTTCCGTTTAACACGATAATAGGTCGGTAATTATTCAGCACAATGTGAAGTAATCATACTCAGTCATGCCTCACCGCATGGTCAGATAACCAAACAATGGAATTACATGTTTTGCTCTAAATTGTCCAAACGCAGCAATGTATAAATTATCTCTGCTTTGAATTGGTTTTTATAACCTTCCTATTATAAATATCAAGAGTCATTTAATTGCGACTTTTTGTCTCTTTTTAATAAAATAAAAACTTTTGAAAATTTACATTGAAATAGCTAAATAAAGCTACCTGAGGTAGGTAAATAAAGCTACGTAAGTAATTCTACCTACGTAGCTAAATCTAGTGATTGTACTGGACCTGACTACATGTACTTAATTTATACTCTTCACTGTTCTAGTCTGAATTCAGTGCATTTGGGAATGTTATTTGTAGGACAACTTAAGTCATAAATAAATATTAAGACAGTATCGATAAAACAGTAAAGTTTGTATGAATAAAAAGACGAAAAAGACCCCCCAATCTTCAAATTTATGAGGAAAAATCTGTGTAAATAAGCAGCACATTACTACAAGTAACCTTTACTAACCTGAATATCTAATGTATCGTAGTGGATATTCCTCTAATCTATAAAAAAAAAAAAAATAAAAAAAAATGACAACACGTCTTTTGAATCATGTAGTTTAAAATATATTTTTGTCAAAATTCCATTATGCCACCTTTATATTATAAACACACAAAAATATCGCCGGAATTTTTTGAAGCTAAAGCCAACCTTTGCAAAATGAAAAAACTAAAGAAAACCAATAAAAAGTAAATGTATTTAGTTGCATAAAGTAAATTCTCACCTATTGGCGCCATCTTTATTTCGATCTACCAACGGAAACACGAGGGTAGAACTATGGTAGAAAAATGACGTCACTCCAGTTAAACTAGATCGGGTTCGATGTTACTATAGTTCAACAATAGTTACTCAAGTTCATGATCGAAGTTAGTCATTAACGTTCTAGATAAATAATAAGAGCTCGAAAGTATGGCAAATGCATTTAGTTTTAACTCAGAAATCAATCATAATGATTGCTGCTCAAATAAAATTAAAATAATTATTAAATCAAACTGTAGTAGTTTCTCCAATTGCGGGTCACGAAATCTCGTGGCATGAACATGTCGATATATTCTATGTACAAAACCAATCGAAAACCATGTATTTACCTTGATTATCAAAAGTATTCTAATGGAAAATATTTCTTCCAAAAATTAAAATCGAGTTGACCCTTCAAATGCATTTTTTCAATAAGTGAATTTACTTGTGTTATTTTTAATCCTAGTACGTTATTTAAAATTCTGCATACTGCAATTTGCTTTGTTGTAATTGTTTTAAAAATACTGTAATTTAAACATATTTCTGTGGTCGTTTTACGTTTTTTCCAAGCTGGATGATTTATTTTACGTTTAAACATCATAAAAATCCTGTTCCGAAACGTTCCATGAATAGTACACGACCTTGAAGTCACATGACCCGGAAATGGAGAAAATGATTCGTAACTGGGGAAGCTAGGCCTTTCTGAAATACCCCTGTGTATATTGTTCCCGTGTAGCTACTTTAAAAACGAAAAGTCGTTTGGATGACTCACTATTTGTTCTTTCAATACATATATTGCATAAAATTTAAATTGAACAGATTTGCAAAATATCAACGAAAAACCCAGACGTGACCCGGAATTGGCGACTTCACTGTAATTGAAGACTCCAAAGAAGTTTTATAAAAAGAAGTTTTAAAGTGTATTTTTAAAGCTCGGTAATGGGAACTATTTCTTCTCTCAGACGACCTACGGCAAGAACGATAACTCTGGATGACTTGTCTTGTAAACAACAACACGCTCATTTATATTGTGAAGTTTATAGGAAGAATATGTATAAGACAAAATTTAAAAAAAAAAAAAAATGCAACTGATTTTGTTGGGTTTTTTAATTATGAATTATGATAAAGAAATCAGCTGGATGATGAATTTTGATGAAGTTAAAAATATAAATAATTTATCATGATAATTTCATTTATAAAATTAATATTCTTCTTGAAATCTATAGTTAATATTTAATAAATATTGTAATTTTTTTTATTATGTTTTATTGGGTAAATATTAAATATTCAAGTTCAAATAATTGATATGTATGATGTGGAATTGTCTCAATTAACCAATATTACTCTGTACTAAGGGCTTTGGTCTTCACTAATTTGTTTTATTATATGATTGAATAATTTCCATCTCTCTGATTGGCTGATATCCAACTATGTTAGAAAAATATTACGTTGTATTGACCTGCACGTGACGTTCCAGGTCAATACAAGGATTTATTTGATCTACATTGATCTTAAAATAGATTGGGAAATGAAATTCCAAATTGATACAAATTGTTTTAGAAAGCTATTTAAAGGACTATGATTTTTATTTTCATGTGAACAAAACATAAGCATGCAAATATATATTTTAGGTGCGGGTGGTAAGAGGGGATGCAGGGAACACCCACCCACCCCACCCCTTCCAACACTTTTACTGAAACACAATTTTGGTTTTACTTTTTGGCAGTCAGTTTTCCCTGATAATACTGCGTTCTTTCAAAATAAATCCTATAAAAAAGACTGACATTGTATATTTCAGTCATGGCTGCTATAATTGATTTTTTTTTAATTCAAATTGAAACAACTGGTAGGTTTATTAACATTTTAATTCTGATACTCTGTTGTATTTGGCTAGGACTTAATAAAATGGAAACAAGTAATGAGCTGTATCATTTTATCAGTGAATCATATAATAAAACAATTATTGCTGTTTTTTCGGTCAATACAATGATTTAGCCATCTTCGAAGTACAATATTCACCTCGCCCTTCGGGCTCGGTGAATATTGTACTCCTCAGATGGCTAAATCATTGTATTGACCTCAAAAACCAGCAATAATTGTATAGTATACACAGTCACCCTGAAGATATATCCGTGTTTTGATTGCAATTATCAACACACTCCACTTGCTCTGATGAATGTTAATTTGCAGTCAACAGAGCAAAGATAGAAAAAATATATTTTATATCTTAAAAATGCCAGCAATAATAAACAAATAAAATCATTGTGCATTTATTCAGAATATAACTTAATAAAATGAATTACGTTTTGAATTCTTTTTTTAATATTCAAAATGGTCATCCTTTTCAATATAACACATTTATATGACATTCACAATAAATTTAATAACTTAATTAAATGTATATATCCAGATAACATGCTGTAAGCCAAGAAATAGGCACTATAATATGAATCATAAGGACATTTATTTCTTTTACATTTTGAGTTAAAATATACATTGAAATTATATCAATCTTGAAAATACCAGGTATATCATTCAATAATTAATTTAAAAGAAAATACACTTTAATAATTGAATAAAATAATAATCGTGCATCATTGCATGTTATCACACAAATGCTTGCATATTAAAAAAAAAAAATTATGATGCTTTGACTTGGGGGAAATAAGATTTTGAAAGTGATTATGTCTGTATTCTTCTTGAAAATTTACTTCAATTAAATTCTTTTAACTGCAATTCTAAGATTTTCATTCTCTACATAAATGCAAATCTTATAAAAATTTCCAGATGTTATAAATGACATTACAGGGTATTTTTAAAAACAAGAACACAAATCATTCTATCACAATGAATTTTTATTAATGATCAGCAATTCAAACCTGAACTAAATATTACACTGATCTATTTATAAACACATAAAATACAAAATACAACGTATATAAAAATGTATGTATTTACAATGATTTTATGATTGACATATGATGGTATTATAAATTATGTACTGTGTTTACAATTTTAATGATTTTAATAACTATTTTTTTTTCTAAAACAAAATAGAATTGTATCTGACTGAATATTGCATTTTATTTTTTTTATCTTTTATTTATACATATAAAGTATCTCCAATGATTTTTTTCGTCCTTTAATATTATTTTTCAATTACATTTTTCTGATAATTACATTTTCTTGATATGTTTTGGTGAACAGCTGATTTGTTATTTACAAGAGTTATCGTTCTTGCTGTAGGTCTTCTGAGAGAAGAAATAGTTCCCCTTACCGAGCTTAAAAATACACTTTAAAACTTCTTTTTATAAAACTTTTTTGGATAATTTACATATTTAGGACATGCTTAATCAGAATATCATATCAGTTTTGCTGTATATATCCCCCATTTTTGTTGGTCTTCCGTAGGTCTTCCGTAGGTCTTCAATTACCTGTAGGTCTTCAATTAGGCATTCCCGCTTGATGTTTGAAGTAGCTTTTCAAGTTTTCAACTGATGGTCATAACTGCGCTCGCCTCAACGGTCACGCCGTAAAACATATTAGTTCTGAATAATAAAGTAAAAATCAATTTTATGCAGCATAATTGCTGATTTCTTAAAAGACTTCTTGCTTTAAAATTTCCGAAAAAGTTGTAAAATGTAGTTAAATTTCCGATGGCAAGAGTTGGGTGGAAATTCCCTGTAATTTTACATTAAATAATGCGGAAGACCACAGGCACCTGAATTTTTATCAGTAAGTCGCTAAATAAGCCAAATATCGAAAAATTCTACCCCCTCTATATATAAATACTGATAAAAATTCAGGTGCCTGTGGGAAGACAAACCCTATGGATTATTCACTTCCTTGTTATAACAACTTACACACAATCTATCCTAAACAAACCAAAACTCAGGTTATGTCAAGGAGATATGACCTTACTTTGATTACCAATTATATCACACTTGTTCCTCCCAAGATTATTGCTTTCTACAGTGACTTATAATATACTCGTTTCGACCTTTTCAACCGAATCAACGTCTGCGTTTTGGACTTGAACTTTGGATTGGCAGTATTTTTTGGTATTTCGATCCCGATATGTATTTACACATCACTGGAAATGTGTCTATGATATTTAAAAGAGCGGAATAAGAAATAATAATCCCCAAACTTACTTTCATTGCAACATATATCAGCAATATTATTCTTCAGTAGATAATTGTAGTCTGAACTTTTTTTTTAAATTGTCAATAATAAATGTTATGGCCAATATGGATATTAGATATATTAGATACTCGAGATTATTTCTTTTTCTTTTTCTCTTTATACAATGTATATATATAAAATATGCATTTGTTAAAGATCAATCCAGAAATATTGAAAAGGGAGTCAAACCAGTTTAAGGTCGGGGTAGAGGCCACAACCCCCCCCCCCAAAAAAAATGATTTATGAAAGCTTATGTACATATTATGGACAGAAAAAGGGGGAGCTCCTGGGCCCCTCTAAATCCGCCACTGAAATTGGTTCTTGGATTGGGTGCCGTGGGGAGTAAAAAATCACAGGTACTTGGGTCTTTGTTTATAAATATATATACATGTATTATTTTACTGAGGTGTAAAAATGACTGATTTTTTTCTTTTTCTTCTTTTTTTCTTTTTTTTTTTTTTTTTTACATATATATATTGTACTTATATATGCCCTCTGAATAGGCCGAAAAAATCATGTATTCAGAAATAAAGAAAAGAAAAAAACTGAAATGAAATGTATTGATGAGATGCTTTTATTGTATTTTAACTACATCTTATTAATTAATTGTCCACACTGAAAACATAAATTTGTCATGTTGACCAGATTTGAAGTCATTTTCTTCCGTTCAGTTAGTCAATACATAATTTGACTATCTGTTTCCTCAACATTACCAGTCTCTGGCCAACTTTGACTTGTGACTGGTCATTTTATTTATATTTATTGGCGGGAAGAAACAATAGCGTCGGTCGCCATTTTCCTCCCAGGAAAACTCGAAGTCATGGTATGTCATGTTTTGTTGTTTTCTTGTTTTAGACAAATAATTCTTTAAAAAACTTTTTTAAAAAATGTTCTACAGAGAAATAATATTGTAATTAACAAAGTACTAGATATCTTTCGTCAATAATTGTTGTATTTTACATTATTATGATACATGTAAGTTAGGATGTGGGTTGATTGTGTTCAAGCAGATTTTTGCATATTCAATTTATGCAAACAGTTCAAATCGAACTTGGTCAAAAATTCAGCGATTATTAAATAGGTATTATTCTTTTACAACTCACAGTATGGCATGGACTCTCAACTACCACTGAATGGACAAGCAAATCAAAATACTACAGTACAATGCATTGTTACGAATATAGACAAGATGAAAACCACATTAGGTACACGAAGATGTTACCATGAATAGAAGAAATAAGGTAGGATTACACGTACTGATAGCTTATATTTTCAGTATAATGGTGATTTACATAGAACTTGTTATTTTTTAACATTCTATTTTATAAAAGAAAATACAAATCGACTAGTCCCTAATGTACATGTACTAACTCTCCACTTACTATACTGGCCTGCTTCATCAAATATTATTCGTATTATTCCATGTATTTTGTTTATAATACATGTATATTATGATAAAGGCATTTAAAACAAAATCACAATATTGTTTGTAGTTAATCCATTTCTGACGAAAACAGCCAAACAAGAAGAAAACAGTAATTAACACTAAGAAGAAACAAGTAAGAAACACTAATGATTTCATTCCCATGTGCCATGTAAACGTAATTTTTTATTCATTTTAATTGTATGTATTAAACGACTAGGTACCCGTTATTTTCTTCTTAATACTGCATAATTTACATAGCTACTAGTATTTAACTAAATTTATATCTTGATTTCCTTTCAATATAAATAAATTTGTTTTCATATACTTTACTTTTGCTATCAAGCAACTTAAATAAGTAAATTAAGTAAATTATAGAGACTATTCTTCATTGCAGGACCTGTGAAAAAGAATTTGTAATGATCAAAGAAGAAACAACCAGTTAATATATTCCTCTGAGGTGGAAAACAAAGCAACAACTTAACTGAAAGGGTGCAACGAGAGACAGTTCGTGAAGTTATTTCTTTGATTGATTAGAAATCATTTACAAACAGTAAAACTAATTTGCTTGAAAATATATAAATATCTATGTATGCTATATATGTAGGTGTATATGATCTCTTTTAAATTTTTACAATGTTTATATGCAAATCTTATGTTTTTTAAGATGATCAGTTTAATATTCATTTGTGTATATTTGGTGCATGAAATAACCATATTTATAAAGTTTTATAAAAAATAGTTCAAAGATTAGTTGTATAATTGTTATATTTTGTATCTGAAGGGCATTGATGCGTGATAATCAAAATGATTTGACGCGCATCGTCATCATGATTTCCAATATCGTCAAAATGCCTAGAAGTATAACTAATGGACAGTCATTTTGATATGAAATGATAATCACTTTGAATATCGGAATCTATCATTATGACAAGAATACAGTCAAACAAAATCGTTATAGTGTACTCATGGTGACTTTTAATTAGTCAAGGTAGGCTACATCTTCCCAAGTCAAGAGTTTCCGATCCGCTCCGCTCCACATGTGGAGCGGAGCGGATCAGAAACTCTTGACTTGGGAAGATGGGTAGGCTATCGAGTTAGTCAGTATGATTTTTCTCGAGTCGTCAAAATGAACTTAACATATTGTCTAATTGACTAACTGCACCCTCATCTGGAGGACAATCAATCTGATTATTTTTTTAGGTCATGGTGACTAACTTAAATTTTCAGTGCAGTACTAGCAAATTTATAACCATAATGCGTCGGAAGCAAATTGAAACTTGGGTGGCTAACTGAAAGGGGCTAAACCCCCCCCCCCCCAAAAAAAAAAAAAAAAAGATTTTTTCCATTATTTCTCAATCATGACAAAGAGCAAACGGTGAGTGTGACCGGTCATCAGGGGATGCTCACTCTTCCAGTGTCACCTGATCCCACCTCCGATGTTTTGGTGGTCCGTGTTGGCTCAACTGCTCCTGTTTTGTATTGTTTAGTGGACCTTTTGATCTTGAATATTGATCCTTTCTCCGTTTGTTTCGTTCATAGAATAACCAACATGTATTACAGCCACTTAGCAGAGAAAAACAATTACTAACTGTAAAAGTAGATAAGCGAAAAAAAGGAAACCAAAGTACACATGTATTTCAGTTTTAAAGGGCCATTTCGGTAGTTTTGGGGGGCATTTTTTTCTTCCAGTTTTTATATATTCTTTTCAAGGCAAGTTGAGGGGGAGGGGGGTTAAAGATTAAAACAGAAAATATAGTCATTTCATTACCAATTTCAAATGAGATAACAAATAAAAAATGTATTTTATGATTTTATGAATATCAATGGCATATGTTGAATATTAACGAGAGATTTAAGAGTCATTTATCAATTTTCGTCAGTTTTTGAAAATCTGGTGATGTT